TTTCTACTAAGCCTTATTGTTTTTAGTTTGTCTCCATTGTCGGTATCAAGTCAAACTTAGATCAGCTCTGTGTCTTCAGAAGACAGATAAACGTTGAAATCCATCCATCCATCCATCTTCTACCCTTTAATCCATTTCTGGGTCAGGGGGGTGACAGTCAGAGATGCCACCCAAGTCTCATAGCACCAGCCCCTCACTGACCCTCTGCAGGTGGTGAGTCCACAGGAGGACGGCTGCTCTCTGAGTGTGAGCATAGCCTTGATCTTTCAGTGGGGGCTTTGGGCAAAGTGGGGTTAAGTGTCTTGCCCAAGAACACAACGACAGCAGTCATCAGTGGGAGTCGATGGAGAAGGTGCAGAGGTGGGAAATGAACCCACAACCTTCTGGCCTTAAGGCCAATGCTCTACCAACTGAGCTACTGTTGCTACTGTACGTTGAAATATATATTCATTTGCTTTTTGGTTCATTTTCTCTCTGTATTGATATTAATCACAAGTGGTATCCTCAATAAGGAAATTTTAGATGGCTTAACTCAGAATCTGTTATGTTTATACAGTTGCTTCAGTAAATCCTACTTTATACATCCACTTATACTAATGGCACTTAAAAAAGGGAAGGCCAGATAAGCATAAGCTTCAGCTTACAGCTTTTTGGTCTTTCTGCTGTAATATAAATAATGTGTATAAATGGGTAAGTGACGAAATAAAACGTAATTCCTTTTTTCAAGTGATTGGAGCTCTGGCTGTTGTTATTGTTCATTTTCTCCCTGCAATGCTCTGCCAGCAGAGGGCAGTGCTGGGTAGGTCTTCTGAACACTCCATCACTTGTGCGACTATATGAGTGGCCACGTAAACCCTCAGTGAGAGCTTCTGTCGCCTCCAACTCCTCAAAAGAGCCTTCCTATTACAGTCTAGGGTTCTTATGCGACTATTCAGCGGCTCAGCTCACATTTGACCATGATGGCTTTTAAAGGTTAGAGCCCACGGCGAGAAAGGTCAGCACCTGCAGAACCAAGAAGAGGAAAAATAATCGGAAAAAAATCTCCAACACATTATGTACATTGGATGGAAATGAATCTCACCAATGTGCACAAGTCCCTATGTCTCATGTATCTTTATGCATGGCCATTCCAATTACAATTAATAAGGAACAAGGTTGCTATAGTGATGTGATATGTAGGGATAGATTCTCAGGCATGACAGGTTTTTTTTCTTCTTCAGGCTTGTTCAACAAAAGAATCTTAACCCCCCCCCCCCCCCCCCCCCCCAAAAAAAACATTCTGGTGGTACATTAACATTTGTAGTCTCCATTTCTGAAATAAATCCAGTTATTAGTGCGATCCAAGCTCAAAATATGTCCGATACAAAACAAATAAAGTACAGTTCAAAGATAGTGAGCAGAGACAGTCTGGGGGTGTGGCTCCTCCTCCTGATGTCGCCACAACATTATTCTGCAACGCAGGCTCATTTTATTCATTTGACCTTATACTTAAATAATCTTGTGGTGTGTGTGACCTATGCACGATTTTGCTTGCAAGAGAAAAACCAAATTGTCTTGACAGAAAAAAAAATATGTAGGTTTTATGTAGTGTTGTTTTTAGACACTCAAATACTTCACATGGCTGGGTCGTAATTTGAGCCATGGGACTGAAAGACACCCACTTGGGACAAGTTAACACAACAGTATTGAATTAATTTAAGTTAAGGCTAATACTTTATGACATGAGTGCCCCTTTTTTAAAGGGATAGCATGTCATTTTTTCAATTTAAATTACATCCTTTATGTGTGTCTCCAGATATTTGTCAACATGCACAAATCATAAATGACCTTTAACAGTAACACAGTTCAGAGCTCGATCAAAAATACAACGAACATGATGTGAATAGTTAACATTTGTCAGGCAGATTAACTCATGAATCATGATGAGTCCTTGTTGCCTCTTGTTTTCCTCATCAGAATCAGAATCATTTTTATTGCCACGTAAGTAACAGGAGGTCACAGACTTGGAAATTGCTTTGGCTCAGTGCAACAGTCAGAAATAGATAATAAAAATAAGAATAAAAAACACTTCTAAAGAATAAATTTAAATTTAAAATAGAGTTACAGTTACTATTTACAATATACAAGTGCACATGGTGCACACAATGTAAGGTGACAGCAGTACAGTGAAGTAAGTGACGCATGATAGTAAAGTGACTTTATAAAGGGCGGGGGGACAGGGGAAGAAGTGTCCAACAGCAGAGGGAAAGAAACTGTTCTTGTGGCGGGAGGTTCTAGTCCTGATGGACCGCAGTCTCCTGCCTGAGGGGAGTGGTTGGAATAGTCCATGTGCAGGGTGAGAGGGGTCGGCTGTGATACGACCAGCCCGGCCTCGAGCTCGGGCGACGTACAGGTCCTGCAGCGATGGAAGGCTGCGGCCGATCACTTCCTCTGCAGAGCGCACAATGCGCTGCAGTCTCTGTTTGTCCCTGACTGTGGCTCCAGCGAACCACACGGTGATGGAGGAGGTGAGGATGGACTCGATGATGGCCTTGTAGAACTGCACCAACATCTGTGCAGGCAGCTTGGCTTTCCTGAGCTGCCGCAGGAAGTACATCCTCTGCTGGGCCTTCTTGATGAGGGAGCTGATGGTCGGCTCCCACTTGAGGTCCTGGGTGATGGTGGCGCCCAGGAAACGGAAGGACTCCACAGAGGTGATGGGGGAGTCCCTCACGGAGGGTGGGGGCGGGGGGACAGTGCTCATCCTGAAGTCCACAATCATCTCCACTGTCTTCTGGGCGTTCAGCTCCAGGTTGTTACCACTGCACCAGGACACCAGCCGGTCCACCTCCCTCCTGTAGGCGGACTCATCGTTGTTGGAGATGAGTCCAATGAGTGAATGATGAGTTCATGTTCACTGTGAAAAATTACACATCACTGTGAAAAATTACATAAATGACCAATCATATGATCTTGTGTGACTCATTAAAGAACTCATGATGAACTCATGATGATTTGATACTTGAATATTAATGAATGACTGTATAAGTTCATATCTATTTAACTTAAATGTCACCCAATATTATGGCTGAACTTGGTTTGTCTGTCTTGTTGCATTCCTCACTGGCAGGCCTCGCTATCAGATGCTGCAGGGATAAAATCCATCCAAAAATACTCCTCTTAAAATATAATTGTTTTTATCTTCTAGGTGATCTGCTTTGAGTAATGCATGTAATTAACTAGTCACTGTAGCAAAGCCTTAACATGCCATAAGTAATAGTCATGCTTGAGAAAATCACCGTTTAATGGGCAATTCTCCTCCCAGCAGGCACACTAAACGTCTCATCCCACTCCTCCTAATTACCCATTTAAGCTTATACGGCAGATTTGTTTTTCCTTATTGTCCTCTGCTCCAGGTTGATGATTGGAGATGCTTTTATGGTCATGTTTACAGCTTGTGATGAGAATTGTGCCTGGAAGTGATGAAGAAAGTATAGTCCTTGTGAATCTCCCCAAACGCCTCATACAAAGTGACAGCTCGCCAGGCAAAATTGCAACTTGAAATTTGATTTGTTTTGCCTTCGGCTGAAATGTTAGACAAATAATGCGGACATTTAAAACGAAAAAAAATGCTTCTTCATGTAAAGCTACAGGCCTACAGTTAATAGCCTCATCCGGGGAAAAATGGACAACCCTAACCACTGGGCTGCAGCAACGACCATAGACATGTTTGCTGCAAGTTGTCCTTCTCTAAAGCACAGATATATACAGATATATGTAGACTATTTTTAGTAGCACCTGAAATTCATTAAATTATATCTATTCATTCAATAATATCTACAGTGGGGATAAACAAGTATTTAGTCAGTCACCAGTTGTGCAAGTTCTCCCACTTAAAAAGATGAGGGAGGCCTGTAAGTTTCATCATCGGTAAACCTCAACTATGAGAGACAGGATGATAAAACAAATGTCACATTCACTTTTTACTTGCATACAAATATCCACTGAAATGTTATTATTGATTCAGGTCCAAGTTTAGACCAAAAGTTGAAAGGGGAATATTCAGTATGTTTTATTTCAACTTCAGATTATGTTCCATTCACTGCTTTCGCCAAGTAGCACTTTCATATGTACTGTAGTTGTGAAGCATATGAGCCATGAGTACAGTGTTCAATGCAATCAGTGCAACATGAGCCTGCATGACTCCTACTGATCAAAGGTATGTGTCATTAAGTGTATGGCATATACTGTACTCACCCCTTCTTCCCAATACAGAGCATGTAATAGTTTGAGTGCAACATTAAACTAGAAAGGCTCCGACATGACACAGAAAGTACTCAGATTTGTTGGATTTTTTTGTATTTATTATTACTTCTTTAATGCATTTACTATGCCACAGACAATTTCTCAGCTCTTACTCATTATTCCATAAGTATTGAGCAAATGAGACCATCTTTGAGGTACCCTGACTTTAACTGTGTTTTAGGATAGTCTAACTTGTCCTTTGGGCTTTCATGATAAGCACCTGTTTTAATTAAAACCGGTCTGTTTCTACTTCTCATGACTAATTACACCGATTGAGGCATATCTGCCTCCTACATCTGCAGCACTATAAATCCGAAAGCCTAAAGCTGGGGTATAAAATACATCTAACTAGTTCCTCGCTTACAAAAATATTAGTTTTTCACATGCATGTATTTTTGGCCTTTCTTTAGATCAGCTTTTTCAGACAAAACGTGAATAAGAGTGGCTTGAGTTAGCATGTTTTCAATTCACCATATATTCTACATTCAAATGTTTGTATGCCCCACACACGACTGCTTGTAATGTCCCTCAAGACGACTGTGATTTTGATCTCTACAAATAAAATTGATTTGATTTGATTCTAACAAGGTGATAGCGGCATGTTGTGGTCTGATTTGTTCCACTTTTACTTTTACAAGACTCTTTTTGTTGGGACAAACACCATATATTTTTTATTCAGAGAGTGACCCTTTCACTTTGATGTGAATGTATTTCAGATGGAAAAGGTGATGACGGGACTCACAGTGGCCGCTGGACTGAGGGGTCGCAGATGTGAGGGAGGCTTGTTACCGCTGTGTGGTCAGGTGCACTTCCAGTCGGTCAGTTATAATGAATGTAGTGGAGCAGTGTTCAGGCGGGACCCCGGAGCAGCAGCTGGCCCATGCAGGGTCATGGGCGGAGGGGCAGAGGCCGTAATGATGATCCTCTGAGTGTCAGGTGGAACATTTCAGACCAGAGCTCCAGTAGGTGGCATTTTCTTTCAAATAACAACAGACGGAACAACCGCAGAGAAGAGACGTGATGGAGACAGGGCCCAAGAGTGCAGTAAGAGTGAGGGAGGCAATGTATTTCTGTATTCAGTTACTCCTCTTTCTCCATTTTCTAACAACTTCTCCATTAGATAAGCCTGCTTACTCTAAATAAAAGCATATTAAAATATAGATGTGTAATACATTCTATAAAAAGAAAAAAAATGGTTGATCAGTTTTTGTCTTCAGAGGCCCCCGCTCTCCTTCCAGTGATGCATTACCAACTGGAAGGGGACCAAAAACTGGTTTGTTTTTGGATTGCAGTAAACCTGGTCCTCCCCTTCATCCTGCAGCATCTGGACTCCCCGGGGACCTATGCCACGGTCCTGTTTGTGGACTTCAGCTCTGCCTTCAACACAATCCTGTCATCCCTTATCCAGGATAAGCTCTCCCAGCTCATCGTGCCCAACTCCACCTGCAGGTGGATCACTGACTTCCTGATAGACAGGAAACAGCATCTGGGGGAGAATGTCTCATACACTCGCAATGCAAATACAGGATCTCCGCAGGGCTGTGTTCTTTCTCCCCTGCTCTTCTCCCAGTACACCAATCACTGCACCGCCAGTCATGACTCTGTGAAGCTGATCAAGTTTGAGGATGACATGGCAAGGCAAGGCAAGTTTATTTGTATAGCACAATTCATACACAAGGCAATTCAAAGTGCTGAACAAAACAAGAAAGCATTAAAATCATAAATAATCACAGAACATTAAAAAGAAAGATAAAAATATCAAATCCCTCATTTGTATGCACAGCTAAACAGAACCGTTTTTAACCTGGTTTTAAACATTGTCAGACAGGAGGCCTGTCTCACATCTTCAGGAAGATTTTAGCAGCCTGAATCTGAAAAGCAGCCTCCCCATGTTTAGTTCTGACTCTGGACACTAACAGGAGTCCAGTCCCTGTGCTCCTCAGAGTCCGGGCTGGTTCATATGGTACTAACATGTCACTAATATATTTTGGTGCGAGGCCATGGAGAGACTTGTACACAAGCAGAGCTGTTTTAAAGTCTATTCTCTGAGCCACAGGAAGCCAGTACAGAGACCTGAGGACCGGACTAATGTGGTCGTACTTCCTGGTTCTAGTCAGGACTCGAGCTGCTGCATTTTGAATGTACTGCAGCTGTTTTACAGCCTGTTTGGACAGACCTGTGAGCAGGCCGTTGCAGTAGTCTAACCTACTGGAGACAAATGCATGGATAAGAATCTCCAAGTCTGCTTTAGACACTATGTTTTTGATCCTGGCAATGTTTTTTAGATGGTAAAAAGCTGCTGATGTTACTGATTTGATGTGGCTATTAAAATTTAAGTCTGAGTCCAGTATTACCCCTAGATTTCTGACCTTGTTTTAAGGTTTTAGGGAGAGAGACTGTAGGTGACAGATGACGCTCTCTCTTTGTTTCTGGGGACCAAAGACAATCATTTCAGTTTTGTCTGTGTTTAGCTGAAGGAAGTTGTTTTTTCATCCACTCACTGATCTGTTGGATACAGTGAAGGAGTGAGCCCACTGGTCCATGTTCTCCTGCAGTCAGTAAGACATAGATCTGAGTGTCGTCTGCATAGTTATGATAGGAAACTTCGTTTCTGCGTATTAACTGACCTAACGGCAGCATGTAGAGATTGAACAGAAGAGGTCCCAGGATCGACCCCTGTGGGACTCCACAGGTCAGGGCCATATGATCTGAGACACAGTTTCCAATCTCCACAAAGTACTTCCTGTCTTCAAGGTAAGACCTAAACCAACTTAGGGCGGTGCCAGCGACGCCAACCCAGTCCTCTAATCTCTGTAAGAGGATCTCATGGTCGACAGTGTCAAAGGCAGCACTCAGATCTAACAGGATTAGGATTGAGACTTTGCCTGCGTCAGTGTTCAGCCGGATATCGTTTGTAACCTTAACGAGAGCAGTCTCAGTGCTGTGGTGGGGTCTAAAGCCGGACTGAAACATATCAAATGAGTTGTTGATTGTAAGAAATCTAGTAAGCTGTAGGTAGACAACTTTTTCAAGGACTTTCCCCATAGATGGCAGATTTGAAATGGGACGATAGTTGTTAAGTACAGTGGCATCCAGACTGCTCTTTTTTAGCAGGGGCCTGTTGACTGCAGTTTTCAGGGCCTTTGGGAATATTCCAGAATGAAGGGACATGTTTACTATCTGTGTGAGTGAAGGTAACAGACATCATTCTCATTGGACACATCTCCAACAACGATGAGTCTGCCTACAGGAGGGAGGTGGACCGGCTGGTGTCCTGGTGCAGTGGTAACAACCTGGAGCTGAACACCCAGAAGACAGTGGAAATGATTGTGGACTTCAGGAAGACCACAGTCCTCCTGCCCCCAACCTCCCTGATGGACTCCCCCATCACCTCTGGAGTCCTTCCGTTTTCTGGGCACAACCATCATCCAGGACCTCAGATGGGAGCCGACCAAGCTGCCTGCACAGATGTTGGTGCAGTTCTACACAGCCATCATTGAGTCCATCCTCACCTCCTCCATCAGTGTGGGGTTCGCTGGAGCCACTATCGAGGACAAGAAGAGACAACAGCACATTGTGAGCTCTGCAGAGAGGGTGACCGGCCGCAGCCTCCCATCTCTGCAGGACCTGTACGTCGCTGAAACTCAAGGCCGTGCTGGTCGGATCACTGCAGTGCTAACCCCTTTGACCTGCACACCCACAGGAGGCTATGGTCTATCCGGACCAGAACCTTCCGCCATAAGAACAGTTTCTTCCCCAGTATTGTTGGACTCATGAACACTGTAACTCATCACTGTCCCCTGCTCTTTAGGACTGCCACCTCATCCTACTGTCACATCAACTTCACTGCTAAATGTGTACTGTGTGTACTTAGAGCACACTTGTATATGATTTATTTTTTAAAGGTCTTTTTATGCCTTTTATCTACCTTTTTACTCTTATGACTTGTTTGCCAAAGCAAATTACTTTGTTACTTACACTGGACGATGAAATAATTCTGATATGAAAATGAGTTTATATAGGTATGCATAAGAAAAATCTTAATTCTAGTACATAAACATACACAATAGACATTTAACATTTGACCTTTAAAGGTGGAGGGTCTGCTTCCTGTTGGTCACCGCAAATATGTTGTTTTTCCCATGACTGTACAAATAAATTGTTCTCTTCATCAACCTGAAAACCTAAACGTTCCCTCTGTGCTGACTGCACGCTTGTCCACAATTCCTCACTTCCTCCATTCCGGTGAAGGTTTCCATTACTCGTCATGTAACTGTCCACGTGTCACTTTCACCTTGTGTCTTTCTGGTTTGACACAGCAGCCGTCCGTCCTTCTGTCCATCTTTCAGCTCCCTGTGGACCTTCAGCTATGTGGCGCGTCTGTCACTGAGGCAGGCCCCTGTTTGAGCCTGCACCATCTGGACTGGGTCACCCTGTGGCTGCGACCACACGGGACGCGCCGACTGCCCCGGCTACAGTTAGAATGCACTATGGGAGCTTTCCTGGTAAACAACCCCATGCCCTCCTCGCACTTCTTTTCCATGTCTCTTGAGAGCAAGAGCTGATGAATCTCTTTTGCATTTCCCTGTTAATTAGCATTTGGTCTTAGTCTCCATCCGTTTGCCTCATTCAGCAACAATAAGTGGTGTATCTGAGCTATGAAGATTTCAGGACGGAATCTTTTGTTTTCAGTTTGAAAAAGCTGCTTGCAAGTAACAACAGACAGCGTCAGAATGAGAACTAACGCAGTTGTGTGAGAGTGTGTTAGCGGTCGCAAAAACAATCACTATCAACCCTTTTAAAAAACATATTTAATATTCAATATTCCATGACGTTGCATCAGTCACTTCTTTGACTGCAGTGGATCTCAAACTGTAGTCAAACTCTGTTCACACTGTTCTAGATCAATTCTGGTTCACTCGGGGAAAAAAGGTGACATGACGCGTTATTGGGCGTCATGTTACGTCCTGCTGCGCCCATGTGCAAATATAACAAGCAGAGTTTGTTGCACTAAAGTGTAGGAGTGTGACAATATATTGATACACAATCGATTGTCGATATGCTTTTGCTAAGTATCTTTCAGCTTTACTATCTTTACTAAGCTTTACCAAGTAAAGTATCTGCTAAGCTTTACTTGGAAAAAAGTATTGTTACTTAATATATGGCTACATTACGCATTCTACAATTTCTGTAGAATGTTCATATTGATTTTATTGGATGTGAGACAGATTATGTAAGATTTTAACTAAAATGGTTAAAAGGCATTTTTGCTTGTTCACTTTAATGTTACACATGACACTTTATCCATTTATCTTGAAATAAAGTGTATTTTTTCACTTAATTTTTTAACCAATATATCGATAACCGCTGCATCGTCATCATGAGATAATCGTTATCGTGAGCTTTGTATCGCACATCATATCGTATCGTTAGGTACCCTGAGGTTCCCACCCCTACTAAAGTGTGGATTTTAAGAAAACCGATGGATTTAACAACAAAAAAAGGACAAGGAAAAAGGATAACCTTGGGACACTAAAATACCCACAATATCTCACGGATGACCCTAACCCTAACCCTAAGCTAGCTGGAGCTATTTCCTCATATGGGCATTTTTTTCAACGGTCTTAGCTTCATGTCGCAACAGGGGCAGGCGTGTTGCTAAGAACTTTGCTATGGGAAGCTGGGAAATTAACCCCGGTATCATAGAGAATGCTAAACCACAGATTTTTAAAGCCCAAAATGGTGAGTGGGACACAAACGGTTACCGAACTAAAGGAGTTTACTTTTCAATGTCAGTAGGAGCCAGTGTGTTGGACCAAAACTTCCTCCATGAGAACTTTCCTAAAGGGCTTTATTGAGCTAGGGGGTTAGCATTGTCTATCTGTATTCAGTCTATGGTCAGTTTACATCAGAAACAGATTTTTAAGCATTTCCCCCAAGCAAACCAGCTTTGAACCAGTTAACTTGAATAATAAGACCGAGTGAACGCTATTTCAACTCTTGGAAATTGAAGTAAAAATATTCGACATTTCCATCTTCTTTCGGAGATTGCGCTGCGTCAATGTCAATGTCTCAATACATGAATATGTGACCTCTTTCTGGGCACTCAAGGTCGCCTAAAAAGGCCAAATGTTCATCACAGAAAGACAAATCATTTCTAGTTACTTATAATTTAGAAACCAACATATCATAGACTACTTAACTGAATTTCCAACTATAGAAAAATTGAGTTAGATGACTCAATCTAGAGTTCTGAGTGCAAGGGGAAAACAACAGCTTTGTGCTTTAGAGCCAGGCCTCCTCCACTCCCACATTAGGGACCTCCAAAGGACAGTGGATTGGCTCTCATCCGTCTCTGCTGGAGCTTTGAGCATTGCGTCCACAATGGCAGTAATATCACACAAAGATTGAAGTCCACAGACCTCGCTCTGCTCTGCTCAGTCCAGCACTCCAGCCTTAATGACAGACGACCTAATGCATCTACCGAAGATGAAGACGGAAAATGTCTCTCCTCTGCCCCGGCTGCTCCAACTCCACATTGATCCACCACTGGAATGAACAGGAGTCTATTATCTTTGAGATTACTTTCAAAGCTTTTCATTTTGTCCTTGTGCCTTTGGACCGTTGGCTGCAAAGGCTGATTAGTGAGCACATCTCTGACCTGAATGGACATTGGCCTTGACCAATGGCATGCGGTAATTCTCACTAGCTTCTACATTTGACCTCTACTTCACAGAGGCTTTCTCCGCAATTCCAGCTTTCTTTCTTTGTTCCTCTTTGGTAGTGTTGATGTCCTTTAGCCTTTAGCCTTATAGCTTTGGACAAGGTTTCACTAGACAGTTCCGACTGGATTTCAGACCAAACTCACAATATTGTGTCAAGGAAAAAGGGAAAGCTGTTTTAATGTTTGAATAAGGCTCTGAATTATCTATGCCGTTTGAATGTATAGCACATAATGTTGACTATTTACCACAGCGCCTTGTGAATTGTTATTATCCTCATGAGCTGCACTCCATCTGCTCTGAGAAAATGTAAATGTACAGTTCATTGTGACAAAACATAAAAATGAGTCAGCCTTTATTAACATTCACACCATAAACAGTTCAGATGTCGAATTTTTGCCCTGGAATACTGTCTGTGTTATTGTGTATTTGTCTTGAGAGGTAAAACTGTGCCGGCTACACCAGAAATATGCCATTACATTCAGTATAATATTGTACATAAGCTATTGGACTTGAAACTGCCACATTATTTAGATATGTTTCACACATTTTGTTTTATTTTTTTGGGTGAAATACTTATTTTTTATTTTTATTGAGTGACGTTTTTGTGGCGCCACCTGCATATGAAAGCCTGATCTCTGAAGCGAAGTGGGGCAAGGCCGAGCGGCTGTAACTGTTGAATCTGTTGCGTGTGAATGATTGGTGGTTGTCCCCAGGGCAGTTGTGGCTATAGTAGCAGTAGTAGTTTATCATCCTCATGTACAGAGTGAATTCATAACTGTAATTATAATTCAAAGTTTTCAGAAAAGAGCTAAATAAAACCGATGCATTGTTAAGTCAAGTTTGAGAGAAATTCATTTTGGAAGGACATGGAGAGATATAATGTCATAGAGGGGGATGTTAGATAAGAGAAGAGAACATTCGTATTCGTTCCAATATCGCACAAAGCAGACAAAAAGAGTGTCTGTGTGGAGTTTGCATGTTCTCCCTGTGTCTGTGTAGGTTTCTGCTGCATTCTCTAGTTCCCCTAAAAACATGTACAATGGGTATGAGTTTAATGAGTGAGTGAATGGATGGTGTTGGTTTGGCCTACGATGCCAGTGTGTTCGCCGTTTCGCTTCCGTCATCACTGATTGTGGAATGAATGGAAAAATATCTGAACTCTGAACATTTTTCAGTGCTTTGGGTGACCTTGCCCTATGTAAATGAACATTACTTACAAAGGAGCTCTGATAATATACTTAGATAAGTGGCTGTGAATGGTTACTCTCATATTTGAATGGAAACAGGAAGTACCATTAAAATAGAAGTGTAAAAATAGCAGGACATACTCGACCATATATGTCGTGAACCATTTTGTTGATTATCTTATTGCATTGCATAATTTGTTGCTGCACAACCATTTCCAATCACATTCACTTCAAATTAACTTCTCAGCGTGTCACACAGAGCAGTGGCCATGGAAAGGGCAGCGTACGATGTAATGTATGCAAATATTTCATTATCTATGCATAGACTGGATGAATACATTTACAGATGACATGATGGCTGGAGGCGGGGCATTTTTAACATAAATATGCATGATAGAAATATATTAGTGTTTGGTTCGCAATAAATATCAACTTCGAAATCAAATGTTGTATTCATTTTTTGTCTTTGTGAGGTGATCTTGATCTAAATTACGATTGTCATTGAGAGCCTCAGCAGCAGAAGGGCAGAGGATGCTAATGTCATTGATTGTTGATATAGCGAGCGTGTCTCTACATGGCCTTTATAGCCACACTACAATGAGAAGACTGAATTGGAGATTTGTCTTTGCCTGAACATTGGACATACATAAATTAACTTATTGTTTCCCCTCCTCAACCTCACCTTGCTCTTCGCAGGTTTGAACTGTCAACCGTCAACACGCACTATCTTTCTTCATTAGAATGTTGAACAACTGTAAGCAGCAGCAAGGATCAACCGGTGTTGTTGTCTCCATCGTATAACATGGTATAACCTTGGTTTTATGAGGAGGTTGTGGTGGTCATGGACATCACTGTGAGGAGGGAGATGCAAAATCTGTTGGAATGATGAAAAGATCAAGACGTTTACTGAATACTAATGCACTACTTCTGTTGTACCAGTTTCTTTCATAATGCCATAACTAAATGATGGTGTTGAAGTGTGGGGGAACTGTCACAAATCTTTAATTATGGAGTGATTGAAGAAAGCCATGTGAAACATCTTTGGGAGTCATGAAAAGCGCTAAACCAGTACCACGTGTTGGTGTTATTTTGAAAAGGCTATGAGCATTTTATATAATGTACCGGTAAAACCCAAAGACTTGGTAGATGTCATGGAATGAATTTATGGCCCCATATCCACTAGCCCTACTTGGCCCTATTCTACTCTACTCTACTTTACACTTTAGTATCTGGTACTGTATCCTAGCAACCTAACCACAACAATTCAGATTCAGATTCATTTTATTTGCCATGTGCAGCATAAAAACCACATCGGGATACATTTGCAAAGAAAGGTACTCTGTGTGCACCAACAGAATAAAGAGCACGATACAATGTAATATAGAATAAAATAAACATACACTGAACCTAAATAAAAACAGCTGACACTGTGGCACCGAACGACAAAAACTGATACAAGGGGTGAAAACAACAATTAAAGTGCTTTGTTGACACCTAACAGCTTATGGGAAGAAGCTGTTAGCATAGCGAGAAGTCTTGCATCTCAGCGACCGATATCTTCTGCACGAGGAAAGAAGCTGGAACATGGATATACAGTACAACAAACCGGTGTTAGGAAAATTCCATGGTTGGTAACCATGGTTTTCAGTAGCA